ATATATATATATATATATATATATATATATATATATAAATTAATATCCTTAATTAAATTATATCAGTTTTACAAATTAAATTTCATAACATTTATATCATAGATAGTGTGCCTTTGTAGTTTTTAAGATTATTATAAATTTATTATATTAGTTATAAATTGATTATATTAACAAAATGTTTATATGTTATAATAATTATGTTATAATAATATTTGAAAAATTATTTAAAAAAATTAAAAATATGTAAATTACTAAATAACTAATAAAAACTAAATAAAAAAATTTTTTAGATGCATTTTGATGCTTCGATATGCTTGGATGTTACAAGATTCTAATATGATAAATGTTAATATATTTGGTTTATTAACAAATGTGATTTATATGATAGTCTATTACTATTATACATCAAATATGGTATTTTTTTTAATACTGACATTATGAAATATATTTGATTTATGATTAATTGAAACTTTTATATTTATTATGTAATTTAAATTTATTTTTTTAGAAAGAAGCTTTTAAATTAACATTTAAAGTGACAATCCTTGTTATAATTGTTCTTGTCTATGCAGAAGTAGAACATCCAAGAAATGTTGAATTCAGATTCGGCATTGTAGTTACAATACTTCTTCTCCTTTTAATTGCAGCTCCTCTTATACATCTGGTAAGCAAATATTCAAAATTTTTCTATCTTAAACTTATCTGTTGCATATTTTAAGTCTTTTCAGATTATCGACTCTAAAAATCGACTGTCAAATCATAACGACTTTTAGACCAATCACAAGAGATCAAACTGACTATAAAATTTATGTTTAGATTCCAATCTAAGACTCTAATAAGTTGGTAGTTGATTTCAGTTGATAGTTTGATACAGGCTTCAGAGACACTTTGATCAACTCCGATTAATTTTAATCAATTATTTTAATCTTATTGGCAAAATTACCAATAGCAAGTTTGTAATTGATTGTTATTGTCTTTAATGTTTAATTTTTGCAGTGTGTAATATTATATTAACGTTTTTTATTGCAATGAGTCTTGATCCGAGTTATGCCATCGTAATGCATTTCCAATACCTGTTCAAAATAACATAGCCAGGACATAGGAACAAGCATTGAAAAAAGGAAGAATGAAAGAACGAGTGTAGGAAGTGCAGTATGATGACATTAACCTGGATCAAAATCTACTACAATCGGAAATGATATATGTAATATCAAATAGCAAATTAAGTAATGTAAGTATAATTGTTAATAAACTAAAGTTTGGATAAAGTTCCGAAAACAACATATCAAATTCATGAAACTTTCAAAAAACTTTCTTTGTCAAAATGAAAGGTTTTAATAAGATTTTTGATGACTATTACGAAAAGATCATTTTTTTTATGATCGAATAGTAAAAACATTTAGTAAAAGTTTATAATAATGAAGACAAATGTTATGATTTTAATGTGATTGACTTATCAAGATCATAACTCTGAATAATCCTTAAAAGATTTTAGTTATCGTTTGTTTATTAAAAAATTATTAGCAGGAAATTTTGAAAAGAAAAAATTTTGAGAAGAAAAAATATATAATATATAATAGTTTATACCAATATCAATGTACTGATATAATTTGTGTTAATATTTGATTAAAATTTGTGTAGATACAATACACAGTTTCGCAATCCCACTCTGAGAAAATCTATTTTAATCCAATCCTAATTTTAATTTTAGTTTCAAATCAAATAAATTTAAATTAAATTAGAATTTTTTGAAACTGAACTTTATGAAATGAACTTTATTTTTTATTAAAAATAGTAATTACATAAAAATAGAGATAATCTTCCGAACTTAATAATTTTAAGATATATTACCATAGTTACATTTAGATTATTATTAGATATTAGATATATTACCTTGAGTAACATTCTCAAGATTTTAGTTGCTAAATGAATTTAAGGAATATAAACTCAAATTTCTCATCTTTATTGATGAGTCTGTTACATACTAAGAAATAATCAAATATGCGCTATTATATGTAAATTAAATATGGATCCATTTGATCAAATCTTAAAAGACATCAAAATATTTGAGACAAAATTAATTAAAGTATAATATTAAGTTCAAAATAAATATAAAATATAAAATATTATATTTATTATAAATAAAATGTATTTCACTAAGCAAAGTACTAACAATATGTTGGCAGATTGCTAACAAATTCAATCAACAGCTTGATATTAACTGCGTCCATATTTTGATAGTAATATATATATAGAACATATTAGAACATTCAACGGGATAAAGCGATTAGTGAGCGATCAGTGATTATTGGTCTTTATTATTAGATTATTATTATTATTAGACTTTATTATTAGACTAAATTTAGACCAATTATGTTAATGAATTATTCAACCATTGTACGGCCGTTTCCTGAACGCAATTTAAGTAGCAGATTAGTGGTAGAAACCAAACAGAGTTGATACGACTTACTGGCAGATAAAACTCGAACAGAATTTGCTGACATGATTTACTGACAAATTAATAGCAAAAATCCAGCAAGTTTTGCTGTTTCATAATCATTTAAATTGTGATATTATTAGTTTTAATCTTGAAAAATAATGTTCTAATTTCTATTACTACTTTTATTTCTCATTTTAAAAGAATAATTTTTAATTATTTTATTGATAGAAAAATTAATATAACATTACGTTTCATATAGCACACCTAACCAAGATGGCACATAGGGTTCAAAAAGAACTCACTTATATGTCACCAATTCTGAATTCATTTTCAAATGCAAAAGGAATTCTTTTTTTAATTACAAGATGCAAAAAATTCTTTTTGCATCTGAAAATGAATTCAAAATTGACATACAGATGACATACAAATGAATTTTTTTTCAACTCTGTGTGCCATCTGGGAAGTTATGAAATCTGTTTAAAGATGTATATTGTGATTCTTGATATTTATGTGTATCAATAATTATTTTTCAGACTACTATTAACTTCCTTAGTACAAAGATACAGCCCCTTTTTATATCAAATGCATACATAAAAAATACATACCCAGATAGCAAAACATGCAAAAAAAACACAAATTGCGAAGTTATGCTACACGTTATGCCGGCAAAAATCGCGCAGCAATCCAGAATGAAAACAGACACTGGCAGTAAAAATGCAGCACATCGCGTAAACTCTGCATCATAATATATTGCAAAAATGCTGTAAAAATTGAACAAAGCTTATCGTTATAAATACATTAGAATTCAAGTATTTTGTGTTGCTACAATATTCAACAGAAAATACTCCAAAATTTAGTGTGATATGTCGTCAAAATATGTTGCAAAAATATAGTAAAAAATCTGGCATATCTTTCACACTGTGACAGCAGAAATGTGGCAAAAATGCAACATGATTTGTGACGTCAGATACTTGCAGCAGAAACACAGCAGAAACGGAGTACAGTGTGCCATTATATCGTGATGGCAAATTTTGACAGGTATAAAGCATGATCTGCCTTATCGGTGTGTCGGCAGAAACACAGCAGAAATCGAGCACAGTGTGCCGTCACGACGTGACGGCAAAATTGCGGCAGGTATACGGCACGATTTGTTTTATCAATTGTTGTAGATAAAAAGTAACAAAAATCAAACATAATATGCCATCATATGGCGGCAAAATTGTAACAGAAATCGAATAGAGTCCGCTGGCATAATCTGCCAGCAAATCGGCAACATAAATCGTACAAAATTCTGCATCTGTCATTAAACACAATAATTAGAAAACTACCGCTAGATTGCGTCCGTTTCTTGCATGCAAAATTTATCAAATTTTTTATATAAGCGAAATCATAATTAAAATTTAAACATGCATTTACTATTTACGTATTTTTATGTATGCGTTTGATGCAAGACGTAATTGTCCAACAAGATAGTTAACTATAGTATCTGGGAAAGTATTATAAGATGTATAATTATTTGATACATGTTTGATACATGATGTTTGATATATCTTTGATACGTTATATAAAAATTAAAAGAATCATAATCAAATTTCTATTGATGGCTCGCTCGAATTTTTGTTTTATCGAGAACCAACTAAATATTCAGCAGTGAGCCAGAGCAATCTTTCACCAAGATGCCGTTGCACTGATGTATAAGGCACTAGAAATGCTTACACTCAGCTTACCGATAAATCAAAGGAGCAGGAGATGAGAAAAAGAAAACAAGAGAAGAAGAAGCAGAGTGGGGAAAATAAATGTCTCCTTTCCAAAATAAATCAAAGGTTTAATTTGCAACAAGAAACGCGAAATGCGATACATAGATCGAAGGTACTAGAGAAGAAGAAAATTAATATCCGTGCAAAGATCGATACGAAAGTGATACATGAGCGTCCGACTGAGGCTTTGCCTACGCGACGAATGCTCGAGACTCGCTCGAAGTTCAGAGACTGTTCCAGGCCGAGGTACGGGAGGAAGAAAGTTAGGAGTAAGGCACGTAAGCTAAATTGCAAAATCGTTTTTATGCATACAGTCATTACACGGACGCGTAAACGCTGCGAATCTAGCCTCAGCCGAGCAAGACCGCCCGAAACGCGAGCGCTCGAGACGAACTCCCAATCTGCGTCCCAATTCGTGCGCGCAGCAATAACGCGCATGCGAACACATACTTTATATCTTTAAAAAATTGTTTATAATGTATTTGTGCTGCAAAAAATATATTATTTTCATTATTAGTAAAATAATTAAAAATTATTCTTTTAAAATAAGAGGTAAAAAAAATAATGAACATTATTTTTCAAAATTTTTTAGTAATAATATCACAATTTAAATATTTACGAAACAAAATTTGCTTGATTTCTGTTGTTAATTTGCTAACAAGTTATGTTAGCAAGCCCTATTTGATTTTTGCTGCGTTTTTACCGTCACATCGTGACGGCACACTATGCTCGATTTCTGCGTTTCTGCCGACACAATTGCTAAAGCAGATCACGCCATATACCTACTGTAATTTTGCCGTCACGTTTTGATGGTACATTGTGCTCGATTCCTGCTGCATTTCTGCTGCCAGTATCTGATATGGCAAATTTATACGATATCCGCTACATCTGCTGCCACAATGAGATAGCAAGCAATGCTCGATTTTTATCGCATTTTTGTAATATTCTATGATAAGAAGGTGTGTCGCAAAAAACTAAGCTTAATTGGGAAGCAACAGCTTGAAATCTGTTGCAAATTCATGATCGGATCTATTGGCACTGCTGATATTTTGCTATTTGGGTAAATACATAATACTATATTTGAATTTTATTTATACATAATACTATATTTGAATTTTATTTATAACAATTTCGATTATATAGAGAACTTAAATTATATATAATAAATTTTACATACGAGGTACGGACACAATCTAGCGATAATCTTGCAATTATATATTGTATTTAATGACTATGCAATTTATTCGATTTCTATTATTAATTTGTTATCTTTTGTAAACTGCGTTATACAGATCCTGTTTAATTTCAGTTGTCTGATATCTGATATCAAACGGCATTGCGCAGGTTTTGCTCCAATCTTCTGCTGCCAATCTTCCGGCAGATTAGATCAGCACTCTGCTCGGTTTTTATATATATGATCGATCACGTGTTAACTTTGTCGTATTTCTGGCTATAGTTTAACGATGCCAGATGTTACATACTTTAACTTTTTTTTGTTGCTTTTCTGATATCAGAAATTGACACTAGTTCAAAGTTTATTTTTACAAGTTTAGTTGTTATTATATTCAAATTTTTTTAGTAATAACTTTTTAATAAACAATCAGCGACGGCTAAAATCTTTTAGGAATTATTTAGAATTATATTATTAGCTTTTATTACAAATCTTTCGTAAAACATTTTTTGGTGAAAAATGATTTTTCCAAACTGAAAATCACTAAAAATCCTTTTAAAAACTTTCATTTTAATCGAATGAGAAAGTTTTCACAAAGTTTCATCGAAATCGGAGGGATGTCATTTTCGGAACTGTACCTCAATATATTTTAAATAAATACGTTTTAATTAAGATTAAGATTTTAATAAAGATTAAAGGGAGAACCTCGTGTAATGCGCTGAAAATTAAGCTTAAACTGTACGACCAATTTTTTTTAATATTCTTATAGATTATTCTTATAGATTTATAAGTTATTTTAATATACTATTAAAGTAATCAAAAATATTTTCAATAGAAATAAATATTTATTATAAGAAAAATAATAATATTTGTCTGGCGCGTCGGCGATGAGCTGGTCTCATAGTGTGCAATGTGGCGTCATTTGAATTTATCTGAAAAAAAACAAAAGCCCTTTTTTAAGAGAGAGTTCACTTATTAATTGAATCTATTTTTTTTTTAAAAATGCAAAAATTATAAAAAAATGGCTCTTGGAAAAAAATTAGCGATTTTACGCAAAATTTTCGTATTAAAATTCGTATTAAAATTATGGAATAAAAATAATATAAATAAACAATACAATAATAAATATTGGTTCAATTTATACAGAATATATTAGATATATGCAAAAGGAGAAATCAATCGGATGAATGGTGTTTGAGTTATCTTATATGGCTGTTTTAAAAGGGAGCGTCCCGTTTTAAAAAAGTAGTTTTGAGAAAAACGATACGTTTAAAGTTTTGGATATAGATAATTAATAATTTTCGAATATTTACAGTTGTTTTGCATTAATTCGAATCAGATCTATATAGCAAATCTTTCGTTTCTTCAAAAAAAATCTCGTAAAGTTGCATTATTCTCTTGACGAACTGATCGAGCCTCTTTAGAATTCTGCTAAGGCTGCAGCGCTCTTAATCGTAATCGCTATGAATCGTAATTATCAGCAAATATTTTGTATTTCTGGCCAATAATGATATCTAATGAGTTCATAATTTGTAAAATTATAGCTCATATTAAAAAAGCAGCTATAAAACTAGCGATTTCTATTATTTTAAAATATAAGAGTAAAGTTTTACTTGTACAAAATCAAACTATGTTTTTGTAGAATACATATAAAGACATGACAACACATACATACACGAGTAGCATACACAGATATATACTGATCTTTTAGGCCAGTTGTTATTTGAAGGCTATTATATCCAAAAAGAAGCGATGCGCTGCGCGCTCGTTGTTCGACGTTCGATAGAAAAACTGTCTGCAGCTTCATTAATTTTACAAATTTTGTTATAAAACTTCAGGGACATATTTTTGACATTAAATTATTAAATTATACACAAAAATTCGATTTTTTTTTATCCCTGAAGTTACATGAGGTTTTTTTCTTAAGGCAAAGCAACGATATATCAGTTAGAAGTCTTGCTGTTGGCGATATTTTCGATTAATTGTGAATTAAAATTAATCGGAATTGGTTAAAGTGGATCTTTAATCACGTTTATGACAGACATTATTATTAATTAAAATTTTTTAAATATTTCTAAAATATTTTAGAAACAGATTATAAAAACAAAGAATACAGAAATTCTTCCATTCCCGCTTATTTTTATGGGTACACTAGTTTCATTTCAGTGGTTACTATATGGTCTTATCATCGACAATGTTTTTATTATTGTAAGTAATCTTTGCATTGCAAGCAATTAAATATTTAAAAATATTAAATATAAATGTCTAATATATATTACAAATTATTGTTTAAATTGTTTGATTAAGTTTCAGAATGCAGTTGGTTTTATACTTGGCATAGCTCAACTATCTCTTTTTGTGATATTCCCATCCAAGAAATCACAGATTAAATTGTTAAGTAAACAGAAAAAGAAAGCTTAAGAAAATATTTTAAAAGCATAATATTAAAATTTTTAAATATCATAATATTTTTATCTAAAATTTTTTCCTTATGATTATAAAATAGCATTTTATTATCATATAGTATTTTAATATCATTTTCAATAATTAAGAGATTATTCTGGTCTATGCTTGCAAAATTTTGTAATTGTTTAAATAATTAATAGAAAAATAAATAGACATAGATATGATTGAAAACTCATTTGCCTTTATTATTTCAACTTTTGAGAAAAAAAACAACTATTATAATACAGAAATGTACGCCATTTCAGTCCTTTTTTAATCAAACCCGTGCGTATCGAAAAATGCGAATTGCCTCGGCGGCGGAATGAATATATTTTCGTAGATTCAACGGATTTGAAAAATTCAAATAGATTCTTAATTTGCACGTCAATGGCTATCGCAGGAATTAAAATTAATCACTTTTCTGCAAAATTGACGAAATAGTGGATGTTTTAACGAAAAATAGTTTTGTTAAATTTTTTATTTTTTAAAAATTTCTTTTCTTTTTTCGGGGTTTTCTAAATAAAAAGTAGGTTAAAATGAATCAATCAACTCGATTCTAGTTCTGGCGATAGCCAAAGATATATTGAAGTAAGCAGTTAAAATTTTAAATCAATCAGATGCATAGTTTCAGAGATTTTTATTCCGCCAGGTCGGAAAACACTGAGTAAAAAGCACTTAAGTTTCGGTAAACATTTTTATACATTATTTGTCTATATTTATTTGTCTCTTAATCAGCAATTTCAGCTCCATACAGGATATCTTCGACCTCTTCAAAAACTTATAAAAACTGATTATTATGAGTACAATAAATAGAGATGAATCCGATTGCTGTTTTTTACAAAAATCAACTTTTGCACTCCTGTGTAAAAATAGCTGTAAAATTCAAAATACTTGAAATTTGTTTATGAAAATTGAACTACATTTTTTTGGGATAGTGTATTTTCAGAAAATATAATAAAAAAATTTTGATTTTTAGACCAGAATGACCCCTTAAGATGAATATTCTAATATTAAAAGACAGTATTAAGCATTTTATATATTTAGTATATATTATTTAATTTACACGTTGTAACTGAATATTTTATAATTAATTATATATAATGTATGAAATAGTTGTATCATCTAGTATAATGTATGAATGATATTAAAAATTAACAAAAGTGATTCTTGGTATTAAAATAATGGAAACAATAAGGCAAATAAGAATCGGCACTGTTAACAGTGCGTAATTAACATTTTTTATTACAAACTTCAATTTTTATTACAAACTCCAAACGTTTCGACTCAAGTTTGAATCATCTTCGATAGATATAAAATAAATAAATATGATCCTGTGTTCACTAGAGCCCAATGATGATAAAATTCTTGATTAATAATTATTATGGACATGCATATCTATATCATCTTTAAAAAAAACAAAAAAATGGTCACTAAAGGGCTGTCACTCATCACATAAACACAATTCATACTAAAACGGAGGAAACACGCGCAGGAGTATAATTTGCACTGAGTAGTATCTCGTACAACGCTTGAGCTCCATGCAGCAAACAGTGTTCATCTAATGAGTTGAAATGATAAATTTTATCTTTATTGTCTTCCAGCAACTTGAAGACATAAATAATTTCGTTTGACCTTGCCATCAACAAATTCATGTTTTTTATTATTATATTCTTGATTTTCTAGTGTAGAAAAATGTTTAATATTGCTATTTCTTTATATTTAATTGTGTAAGACGTCTATTATTTCGAAATGGAGGAATACACCAAGTCAAAATGGGATAGGCTTTATCGCCAATAATAAATTCTCCATTAGGAAAAAAGGCAGGGAAATCTCTATGATCTATATCTCTATATAGATCTGAGTTGGAAAATTCGATAATTTCCTACTGATCCTGGATAACTTGCAAAACAATGTATAAAGAGTAAATCTTAGATGTCTGCAGAATTACAACATATTATAGTTTTCTACATTTATAACGAACAGAAACTTTCTAAAAAACTAAAAAGTTAGAATATAGTAAAGTTAGATATAGTATACTTAAA